TTGAAAGTTATGCTTCTTGTGATTGATCGTCTATGGAAATTGATGAAAAGTTGCTTTTTAAAGATCATATTCTGCCCAGTAAGGAAATTCTGATACTTTCTAAATAGTTCAAAGTATAACTCCCTAATTTAAAATTTAAAAATACTCTTCCCTTTGCTTGGTCACTAAGCTTGGCATGACAGTCTCTTTCCTGACAAATATGAGGGATCCTCAAAAAGTTTATGGAAGGATTCATATTATCCTTTAATTTGACTTTTCCACAATCCTTTTGAAGTACACTTGTATGTCAATAATGCTGACAAAAATAAAATATAGAATCTGAGAATTGCAGAATTTAAAGAGATCACATACCCTGAATTTTTCTTCAGTTGAGTTTGAATCTGATGGAATATATGGCATTTCCTCTTGAAGGATATATACATATATATATAAGTATGTATAATATACACAATATATTACACATCATTTCAGGTGGTTCGCCATGGTAGTTTATCCAATCCAGGCTATTTGGTAGGTAACAGTCTTAAGGCAGAAAGAGTTCAAGAAACACAGCTGGTTAGTGGAAAAACCAGGACTTGTATTAAATACACTTAATTTCCAAACCAGTCATTTAGTGAAGCAGCTGCTTTTCTCTTCCCTTGTGTTCTCGTCTGCATACTAATGTTGTCCACATTGAATTCTCCCATAATTCTGTCCTTATCCTTCTGACTACTTGGGAAGAACCTTAAGCTACAAAGATTACTCTGTTATCCCCTTTTAAAAATGATATCTCTTGGGCCGGCCCGGTGGTGCACTGCTACAGTGCGCCGCTTAGGAGCGCAGCGGCGCTCCCACTGAGGGTTCGGATCCCATATACAGACCGGCGGCTCACTGGCTGAGCGAGGTGCGGGCGCAGCACCGAGGGTTGCGATCCCGTTGCCGGTCCTGGTCCGGTACGGGCACGACACTGAGGGTTGCGATCCATTGCCGGTCACAAAAAAAGACAAAAAGGAAAAAAAAAAATGATATCTCTTTAATTGCTCTGTGTGACTGTTATTTGTGTATATGCATTATCTTTCCAACTACATTGTAGTGACCATGCCTTATTTATCTGTTTTCTCCAAATCATCTAGCTAAGTACAGGAACACAATCATTATAAAATAAACATTTGTTGAATTAAAAGGACATGCAAATATCTGACTGAAAATTCAAGACAAAACTATATCTCATCATTACAGTGTTATTATGAACTCAGATTCTGGTGTCAGCCTGACCTAATATAAATTCAGCTTCTGCTATTGACTAGCTGTATGTTGCCAAGTGTATTAGTTAACCTGAGTCTCGGTTGGTAAATCTGATAGTACTAGATGTACTCCATAAAATCATTGTGAGGATTAAAGGAAGTAATCTATGTAAAATATTCCAAGCAGTGTCTGGCTTAATAGAAACTCAGAAGGTAGCTATGATTTTCGTAGCCATTCTCAACCCCGAATTAAAGAATTGGTTGGATGAACACAGACTTAGAATCTTAGAATTGGACTGTTCAACCAGTCCAACTGATCCAAGAATTACTTATACATTGTTCTAACAGATTCTGCTTTTGCTTAACCTATTCCAACGACAAGGAATTCACTAGAACTGACTGAAGCAGCTCCAATTCTTCCAAAGTTCTTCCTTAGTATTAGGTTGAACCATATGAAATTGCTGTTGGCAGGTCAAACTGATTGAATTATCGACAATTTCTAATAAAATGATCAGAAATTTGTCTTTCTGTTTCAGTTCAACACCCACCCTCTCCTTCTATATGACAGCCCTTTAGAAATAATGAGGAATAAATGTGAATACACTAGACTTGCCTCCTGTCTTTATTGAGGCTTGCATGCTGGTCAAGGAGACCACAAGAAAATAAGCAATTACATATAATTTTCAGTGTCAAGGAGGTAGAAGAAGAATGCTGCAAGTAAATGGTTTAGCAGAGGGAATTCCCACAAACTACATCATATGTGAAAATTTGAGAGTATAGAGCGGCACTGTCCAATAGGACTTTTTGTGACATTGAAAATATTCTGTATCTGCACTGTCTAATATGATAGCCACTAGCCACATACGGCTATTGAACACTTGAAATGTGGCTAGTGTCATGTGACTGAGGAAATGAAATTTTCATCGAACTTAATTTTAATTAATTTAAATTTAAATAGCCACATGTGTCTCCTAGATACCAGACTGAACAGAGCAAGTATAGAATAAGAGACAGAGGTAAGAGATGAGGCTGGAAGAGTCAGCAGGGCCCACACCAGGAAGAACCTTGAGAAGCATGTTATAATTGTAGACTTTATCCTGACAGTGATGGAATCTTGGAAGGGTTTTAAACTCCAAGGAATAACACAATCATATATGAGTTTTAGAAAGATAACTCTGGTTGTCTTGGGGAGACGGACGAGAAATGGGTAGAGACATTGATTTTATCTTTAAGAGCTTGCTCTGTAAGGGGAGAGATGGGAACAAAAGAGACAGAAAAGTGACTCAAGGATATCTCAGTGAAATGACCAAGTATATAACCAATCATGCACAGTCACATTCAATACTCATATTTGTACAAAGATACTGCAAAAAGTTCATGGAAAAAT